ACGTTCGTTAGAATTATTTATTATAATTGTAATTCTGCGAAAATCTGTTTTGGATTGATTATTATATATTATAAGAAAATATAATACATTACTGCTAAATTGTAAACAACAATCCTGTACTCTTCATATCAAATATTTTTATACATTTAGATAAGCATGAAAATAACATCGACTTTTTATTCAATTTTTATTAAATTGAATTTTTATATAAATTAATTAACATTAATTAACTAAAAAAATAGTAATAAACAATATAAATTTATTAATGGTTGCCGACATTTTTAAAAATATTTCATTGTAATAAAAGAGAAAAACAAAGCATTACATTTTAAAGAATTATGTGATTAAAATTTTAATGTCTGTATTTTACAAAAAAAGAATTTTATGTATAAGATAAATGAATGGTTTAAAGTAAATTAGGAATTAGGAATTTATTAAATATATATATGTATTTAAATGTATAATATGAATTTATATGTATGTATATGTATATATATATATATATATATATATATATATATATAAATACAAATGTATATATACACATATACACACACATATCTCACATATACATACAAGATGTTTTTTAAAGTCTGCCCACAAATCATATTTTCCTATTCCTGATAAAAAACTGACAATGAGTTGAAAAATCCTCATTTTACAATTTTTGGAATGGTTGAAAAAATATTAATTTGTTGTGAAAATTGCAAAATACGATTGCTGAATCGCTTAATGCTATTACAAATTAAAAACTGAGTCGAAAAGTTCTCTATCATTTTGATCAGGAATAACATTATATGATTCACGGCAGACTTTAAAAAACACCGTGTGTACGTATGTGTGTGTTGTGTATGTGCGCATGCGTGTGTGTGGGTGTGCGCTTGCGCGCGTTTATAATTTCATTTTAAGATTTAATATCTTTTACAACTGGAAAAATACTTAGAATTAAAAAATTCTAAAAAATTTTCAAAGGAAGTTAGAACCAAAACATCAATTTAGATCACTACAATTTATAAAATGTAGAATGATAAAATTTTAGTGCTTTGAAACTATTACGCTGTTAAATAATTTAAGAATCAAGTCATCTTAATTTTTCTTTACATTAGGATAATATTAAATTTGTGACAGTTCGAACTAATACTATCTACAATTGTGTACTTAAATCAATTTGAGATAAATCACTTGAATTATTGTTTATTTATAATTCATAATGTTCTATTTGCATTAGCATCTTCTTAGATAAAGAATTGCTTAGGCAGTTTTCGCACGAATAGCAGCACGTTTTCCTGTGACAGCCTGAAATAGACATAAAAAAAATCATGTTTAAAATATAATTACATTTGATACACACAATATATCTTGCTAGAACATGTATATACATGTACATATGTATCACAATACGTAAAAAATATATTATTTCTAATTAAAGAATAATTTACCTGGAATCCAGACTTTATGCTAGCGACAGAACATCTTGAACCGCAGGTTTCGCATTGCAAGAAAAAGAGTCGAGTGTCCTTTTGGAGAATAGTGTCGGGTGAACGACACGTATGACACGTAACGTATTCTTTGATATATCTTCTAAGAACATTTTCTATTTGTTTCTGTTGAAAGCGGCCTTTGATAATTAACTGACTGTTACCATCAACAGAGCCGCTTGTACCTAACTCCGCCAGCAGAAAGTCTAGTAAATGTTTAGGTTGTCTATGTAATGTTTTACAAATCTGTAAAATAGAAATATACAGAATGAAAAATTTTAAACAAAATGATCAAAAAAATCTGGAAAAATATAAAATATGTAGAAAAACATTTCAAATGAAAGTCATATAATTTGATAATGTGCAAATAACAAAATCAAATTAAAAAATTTTTTAAAGTCGTATAAAAGTTATCCATTTTTAAATTATGAACTTTTTTATATAATATTCCTCTAATTATGCTGTATATAAAAGTATTAAAAGTATTAAAAAAATAAATAGTTTTTGAGTTATTTTATACTTTATTCTGGTATATGTATGTTGATAATTGTATACTGATGTAAAATATAAAATATCTTATAACTGTTGATTTTTTAATAATAGTACTTTAATATTTTTATGCACAGAATAATGAGAATATTTAAAAAAATTATGTATTTTGCAATTTGCAACTAATAAGTATGTAATATATTTATTTTGAAGCAACTATTTCTTTACACAATTATCTCATTATTCATCAATATTGTATGTTTTATATTCTCTGTTTGATATTCATTTAAATAATTAGTATTATATAAATTTGTCTTTTTGTCTTTAAATTATAGACTATTTCTTTGCAAGCTATTAGCATACAAAACTACTGTAAAAGTCTGATTATAATACATACCTCGGTAAAGTTAGCAAAAGATGTTTTTTTCGTTCCAATGCGTACTACTTGTGGCGGACGCATAACAAACTTCTGTTTCTTACCCGCTACCATATCGGGATTCTTCTCTCGCATGATATTAAACACCCTAACTAGTAATTCATCGTATGTATAATCTCTATCCGATCCCACCCACAAACTCGGTTCCTCCACTAAAGAGAAAAATGAACATATTTGTATTATCTAAACTAAACTATCTATACTAAATTATAACAGAAAGAATTGTTAATCATTACACGTGATTATTATAATTGAACAAGCACAAATAGAAATTAATAATTTGAAAGTTGTTAAAGTAGGGTAGAAATTTTTGAAGGTTTCGCTACCGCTCGGGGATCGTTTTATGTTTTCTTTTGTATTTACTTTCGTAGAAACCAAAAATAATCATTACAATCATCAGATTTAAGGAAAAATTGGTACATTGGAATAAAGTAAATAAAATCCTTATTCGCACCGTTATAAAATCAATGCTTCAATAATTTATTTATGAAATTTATTCCAAATTGGACCAAATGCGAATAATTGCATCACACATTTTATTATAACATTTGTCATCTCAGTACCCCCATTCCAAGTAACTGTAAATAAATTTATTGCGAATAATATTACCTCAACCGGGAATCGAACTCGGATCTCTAGAATTCCGTGCGAGCTATTTCCTAAGTTTTTAGATTACCGAGGTCTAAATAATATTCTTCGCAATATCGAATATGGAATAATAATGGGTTTGACTTCTGGCCAAGATATTTTTCGCAATAATTTATTCAATTTTTCAGCACATTAACATCTTTCTAATAAGATACCTGATAAAATACCTGAAGCATCGAATTATTAAATGGCTTGTCAAATTAATTTATGATATTACTATAGTGATTTAAATGCGTTTAGAAGTTTTCGAAAAACCAATTCGGCGCGCAGTTCAAATTTTTACATAATATATGTGATATATAAATTCACATGGAAATTACTTATTAATTATTTTACATTTAAATTATTTAAGAGAGAATTTGGATAATACAAAATAATAAGATTGCTCTAAAACGCTTGTAAAAATGGGCAATAAATAAATGTGAAAGGAACATTAAATAAAAATAAGCAAGCCTATGTTGACTTTACATGCCTTTTATGATTATTTACTATCAGGAGGGAGAGCCTCTATTCGTTTTTACAAATGTTTTGAAGCAATTTCATTATTTTTTTTATTTACAAATTCTTTTTATTTACAAATGGCATGCAAGAAATTTCAATGTGTCATTTCTTATGACTGATGACATCATGATTTCAATGACTGCGGCGACCAGTTAGGAGTCTTAATACGATACAAGTCATTTTTTTACTTTACAAAGATTATGAATTTTTTAGTTCATAAATTTTTTAATTATTTAAAATTATTATTTCATGATCTTTTTATTTATTATACATACTTTGTTTTTCTTTTATTTAATCTAATGTATAAAGAATACTAAAAAAGCATTTAATCATAAATATTAATTATATACATATACATCTATACATACACAAGATCTCATTTTGGTATGTAATTTATCAAAATTTAAAAAAAAGTATTTCATAAAATTTCTTATTATATGAAAGAACTAATTTTAATTCTAATTAATACAGTTATAAACTTATATATTATATATATATAGGGTGTTGGGAAAATAATAATAATCTTTTTGCATAGGAGCAGAATGAAGAACTAAACTGAGAAAAAAAGTCCTCTACCATTTTGAAATTTTCGCAATAATTAACAAGATATTAATTGCTAAAAATTAGTTTTCAATAATTTTTTATTCAAATACTATCAACTTTACAGAAAAACTACAAGAGACAAAAATTGTTTATTTTCTTCTCATAGAGGTCTAAGAATTTTTTTTAAATTTTTTCAGAATTTTTTAGTACTTTCTTTTTAGTATTTTTTCAAGTTGTTAAAAATGGGAAAATGCTATATTAAAAAGTTGATAAATTCTTAAAAAATTCGTAGAGTTCTATAAAAAGAAAATAAACAATTTTTGTCTCTTGTTTTTTTCTGTAAAGTTGATAGTATTTAAGTAAAAAATTATTGAAGACCAATTTTCGGTAATGTTTAGCAATTAATATCTTGTTAACTATTGCGAAAATTGCAAATTGTGGAGGATTTTTCTTCTCAGTTTAGTCCACCCCTTTGCGAAAGATTTATCATTATTTTCCAAATAGCCTGTATATCAAAGCTTCCAAATATTGGGTCATCTAAAAAGTATCCGCGGTTTTTTGTCACTAGATGTGTGTTGATGGTCATATATCTAGTGACAAAGTACCGCGGATACTTTTTAGATGACCCAATAAATTATAATTAGGCATTATTTTAATTATTAGGTGTTGGAATTAATTCGTAGCGTTTTACAAGTGATGGGAAGTACTTTCATTAATGTATTTTTTAATGCTCATGTGAAATAAATAACATTCTTTCATTAAAAACGCTACGAATTAATTCCAACACCTAATACATCAGATATATGTAAATTGTAATTTAAAAATAAAATTAATTTTTTAGAAATCTATAAAATCAGTTTTAGATGTTTTAAAATTATTTTTGTCATAAAATGCATAAGAATAGAACTTAGATGGCGTGCATGTGAGCGGATGCCAATTGCGATAACTGTGATTTTTAGAATGTGCGATAATTAGAGAATAGCGAATTAGTAAGTGGATAAAGAAGGGAAAAGGGGAAGAACAAAAAAAATTAAAAAGAGGAAAAAGATTTTGTTATCCTGACATTATGTTTTGAAGATGAGTTAATAAACAGAGAAAAGGAGATACAAAAGCAGTGAGAAGATAGCAAAATTTCTAAGGCAAGGTACAACGAGTTAGATAAAGATATAAGGAATTAGGGGTGAATAACAAGAAATATACGTCATATCTGAGAAAAGAAAACTTAGAAGAATGGAAAAAAAGGAATAAGATAAGAGCTCTGTTTCAATTAAGATGTGAGAATTTAGAGGAAATGATAACTTGTAGCAGTATGTGGAGAAATGCACGATGACAAAAAAAAGATTTATTAAATTAGGAGAGAAAAGAGGGATATTAAGGAGATGATGAAGAGACCAAATAAAAAGGGAAATATTAAGAAAATTATGGAAAGATAGTGATAAAATTTTAAGAAAAAAAGAAGAGAGAAAGAATACATGATCTAGAGAGGAAAAATAATGGCAATGGGAAATTAGGAGTGGTGCAATTAGCGGAAAGAGGCAATAAGAATGGATACAGTAAATTTCAAAAGAAATAAAAGCATATGATAACAAGCAGATGACGATTATAGGCTATGATTAAGGCTGTGGTCTAGATATTTTAATTTAATTTAATTTAGTCTACAGTATTAGAATTAGATATAGAATAAAAGCAGATAAGGTATGAAAGATAAGGTATAAAAGAATACAAAGAGAATATACAGGATAAAACTGGATGTAGCAAGAAATAATAAAAATAGTAATATAGTAATGGATAGTAACGCGCAGGCGAGATAAATGGATGAATTAAGGCTGTATGTGTAAACCAAGTTCTCTTTTTGGCAGTGTATGTTGAAATGTAATAAATTCTATTCTATTCTATATTTTCTATTCATAAAATGCGTAAGTGCAGAAATAATTAAGTGCATAGTTGACGTAATTAAAATACATCAAGCATAATGTCTTACCATACTCTGCACTTCGCTCAGATTCAGTGCAGCATGTTAACAAATAATGGATAACATAAACAACTAGATGCAAAAACATACTGGTAAAAATCATTTCTTATTGGTACATACCATTCTCCTTGTCTTCAATCTCCTTGCGCTCTTCTTCAGCCACTAATTCATCGAGATCTTTCTTCTTTTTCTTCTTTTTCTTTGTTTTTGAGAAATCCATATCTAAATCAAAATCATCATCTACTACAATTTCCTCGACCTGTTGCTCTACAAGTTCCTGTAAAATAAATAAGATTCCCAAAATTTAAGATAAACAATCCAAGTCTTTTTAAACTAATATATTATAAATTGCAATACACTTTTTAAAATGACAAATATTTCTCTCAATCTTCTCTCCTCTCGCAAATATGAAAAAACAAGGAGTGAAAGTCATATTTATTTGTATTATTTTATTTATACAGGGTATCCAGCGATATCTGGCTAGTTAATTCAATAGATAATTTTAGGATATTTCAAGTAAAAATCCTGGTTTCTCGAGATTGATTAATTTTCATTAATTAATTTTTGTTGATTCGCGCAATATATGTTTTGTATTCAAGTTAGAATTTAATATGACGAAATAATTAAATAATAATTAAAAAAGATTTCGTTATTACATATTTTAGCTATCTTTTTGAATCTTCTTCAGATATCCAAAATAAAAACAAGAAAATATAGCAATATCTTCACAGTTCTCATGTTGAGTTAATCCAGAAACCACAGAATTACTCAAAATGATTGGAAGACCGTATGGAGAAAAGTTCTGGAAATTATGAACATTATAACTGCAAATAATAGACAGATGATTTAAATAGAAAAATAAAAATTTCTTATCTTATCTTTCTCTATTTAAGAAATTTTTATTTTGTAATTTTTTCACTAACTCTAAAATTTGACTGTTTTCTATTTAAATCTTCTCTGTATGCTATTTACAGTTCTAATGTTCATAATTTCCAGAACTTTTCTCTCCATGTGGTCCTCTTAACTGTTTTACGATCAATTCTGTAGTTCCTTGATTAATACAGCATAAGATATTGTTGCATTTTCCTGTTTAATTTGTCTATTTTGGATATCTAAAGAGGGTTCAAAAAGTCGAAATAGTCAAGATACATAATAACAGAATCTTTATAGACATTGCTAATCTCTTGTTTTATCTCTTGTCATCTCGACATTCTTAATGTAAATCTAATAATGTATAATTAAAATTTTGTAATTTTTACCTATTGACATCCTCATTGACTTTTATAGATCTTTATTTCCGTTTATTTAAATTTATTATAATATATAAAAAACAAAATATAATTTACCTAAAATGTTTCACAACTGACCAGTAAATGATCCATACTTAAAAAAGCCTTGCTCCTCTTATGAAATCTTCTTACTTTTATAAATTAAATTTTATTTTACAAATGTTAAGGACATTTATGAAATATATATAACATTAATAATTAATAATAAAATACAATTAATTTCTAGTTTGTTTATAGATGTTCATAGCTGAATATAATTTATTATTTTTTTAATGCATCAAAACATTTATAATTAAAAAATATAAAGACAAATAAAAATTGAATTAATGATAAATAAGCTTAAATATATCTAATACAAATTAAAAAAAAATTATTTACCTCTTTCTTTGTATCAGGTAAAGCTGCTTCTAATTCATCTAAGTTAAATGCCTTTTTCTTTTTCTTCTTTTTTTTACCAAAATTTTCCAAATCCAATGCCTCGTCATCTTCCACCACTGTTGGCTCAGGTTCCTGATTCTCCTTATCAACAATGTTTTCAGATGCATCACCACCATTGCCTCCTTCATTGAAAGCTGCATCTATATCGAAAGTAGTCTTCTTCTTTTTCTTCTTCTTTTTCAAAGTTGGATCAAATACCTAGAAATTTTTTTATAAATGGAAATGAGTTACAATACAAATCATATATTATTAAAAATAAATAAACATTTTAATAAAACAAGGATAAATATAGCATATAAATAGCTTATAACGTTGATCCTTTGTTATAAAAAAATCTTCCAATTTAAATAATTAATACCTCCAGTAAGTAAAAATTTTGAGGTTGGAATTTCTTTTGCTTTCTAAATATCATTATATATCGACAATTCCTCGTAAATAACAAAAAAAAAAATAAAGCCTGATGTATTACTCCAATAGAAAATATTGAATTAGAACAGCCCAGTATATGTCCTATCACATATTTATGTTCAATTTAATTCGTAAACTGTATTTTACGTACCGAATCTTCTTCCGTCATTTTTCTGATTGTAGAGTGTCCTCTTAAATGAAGAAAACTTTTTGCTTAACAAAAACTTAAGCGATATAAAGTATTTCAGAAAACTGAACAAATTAATTTCAACTTACTGCCACACGTTGTTCCAAAAAGATTGCATCAGAAAATTTAATAGCCTTAAGAAAAGCAAGAAGGTCCACCTTCTAAAAAGAAGACGATTTTCAGCGCCATTATCTCTGAACGCGGACATAGCGAACTAAATTGAATCAAGTGATGAGAGCATAGACTTTATCCAGAGAGAAATTTGAAAGCAGTCATCCCGGCCTTTTTCATTTCAACGCTTATATGTATGTATACATCAATGTCCATTTTTGCGATATGAGAACTAAATATCACGTCTATTTTGTGAAACTGTCGATAAAATTGGAGTATTGAAAATGAACGTGGTGTGTGTCGATACTGTCGATAATATTGCTCATAATAGCGCGAAACGCATCGCGTCATCACGAGTTAACCAATCAAAACGTCTCATCTGTTTACAGTCATGCAAAATTTTTTTCGATGAGTGCAAATTTTTTTGGAATGCAACTTGCTCACCGAGCGATTCTTGATTGATTTTTGCTTTTAGTACTTTACTGGATCTAAGTGTAGAAATCAATCATATTAAAGAATCACTGAGCGCTCACGAGTTAGTTTTCTTTGCCGAACGCAGCCAATGAGCGCATTCAACGAACAAAACAGTTGAGTGAGTGCTCGCTATTATTGGTATATTCTTTTAGATCATCCAATCAAAATTTTAGATCTAGAAGAATATGCAAAGGCTGCATTCAGCGGAATCAATAGTTTAGTGAGCGCTCAGTGATTCTTTAATATAATTACTATTGGTGCATTCTTTCAGATCTAAAATGCTGATTGAATGATCTAAAAGAATACACCAATAACAGTAAGCGCTCATATAACCAGTGGGTGCATTTAGTACTACAATCACTTATCGAGCGTTTAGTGAGCTCTTACACCTGTTGGTCTATATTTTTGGATCTATTGGAATATGCCAATTAGATGCAAGAGCTTACTGAGCGCTCAGTGTGCGATTGTGAGTACTGAATGTACTCACTGATTATGTCTAGCAGACTCAACTATTGCGGAGCGGATCCGTGAGCGCTTGCTGCTATTCATGTATTCTTCTAGATCATCCAATAGCAGCGAGCGTTCACGAATTCGCCCGCAACAGTTGAGTCTGCTAAACGCGACCAATGAACGTAACCGCAGTATCCGCAGTACATGCTCGCGTTGGAATATTTCGCAGCTGACAGATTTCCTAACCTTAATAGTCGTCAATTTTAACGCTTAATATCTCGGTCCACGGAGTAGAGCGACACTTTTTTTTGTCAAGTTCGTTCATTTTGTAAAAAAACCCGTCGAATGAGCCTAATTTTATTAAAATCGGTGAGGAAGATTTTGGAAGACAGGAATCTTCGACCATTTTCTACGTAAGTAATACTTATCTAATTTATACCGAGCACTTGATACGACTATATTTGTATTCGTATATCAAATCACTTGATATACTTACTGTAATCACCATGTCACATTCACGAATTACTTTAATATACTCTAATATACTCATATCAAACAATTGGATAATTACATATTATGATATTATATTTATGATATTATTAGCATAAAAATCACAGAGTACTTTCTATTGTCTGTTTTCGAAATTAGCATTTTATCAGTAATTAGTAGCAGAGAATATATATTTTATTAATTGTATATGTTGCATATTCTTTTTGTTTTTTAAATTAAACAGTCACATATATAAGATATTACTTTTAATATATGTTTCTACGAAGTTACAAAACGATACATAATTAGAAAATATCTTAAAATAAAAAATAACATGGAAAATACATTTATCTATTTAATATGTGTATAAATGAAACAAAAAGAATTGTAACATTAGTATTTAGATTTCTTTTAAAAAAAACAATTTAAAAAAATATTTAAAATCTATTTTAAAAAAATTATATTTTGCAAAAGAAATTTATATGCTTTTGTTTTGATTACCCAATGTTTTAAAAATTTTACATTTTGCTATTTAATTTATTGTTATTTATAAAATTCTGTAAAGACTACATCAGTTTCAAATGTTTTCAAATATTGATATTTCATTTAAATAAAGTGAACAAATGGTCGTAAAAAGTATAAGAAATTGCATTTTTATGAAATATTTTTGATCCCTTATTTAATTCCTATTTATGTTTTTCTGTTGAAGTTTTTCTAGCAATATTCTGTAAAATATTTATCACATTCACGTTGTGTATACACACACACACACACACACACACACACACACACACACACATATATACAAAGTATATATTTTTATTCGCTAATTTTAAGAAATAACTTAGAATATCAAACTTGTTATTATCTTGTTTCAAACAGGGAATGGAAAGTTACTTTTTAAAAACTAGTTACTGTTAGTTACTGATTCTCAAAAGTAATGTTACCGTTATTGTCACTTATAAAATAACGATTCATTATTTTTCTGTTATCTTTTTATTACTGAAAAAAGATCAGTTTAAAAGTTTTGCAAATTTTTTATTCAGTTATTAATAAAAGTGATAAACAATAATGATACTAGAAAACTTTTATATTTGATTATTAATTGATAAAAAGTAGACTAAATAAATTATTTTAATATTAAAAAAATTTATTGAAGAAGAGCTTGCATCTATGATTTGACAAAATGGTGACAAATCGTTAGTAAATTTATTTTTAAATTATTTAACAAAAGATGGCTAATTTAAATTAATTTTTATATTAATAATGCCTTATTTTTGTCAAAAATTATATTAACAATGTCTTATTTTTGTTAAAAATTATAAAAACACTTTATTGTATACCTTATGGGATTATGCTTGGA